AATCTTTACCTGTTTTGCTTTTGCTGTTGGCAGCGAGCTTATTTTGTCTGTACACCTGTGAAATATATGTTAGGGCTCACACTAGGCACGGTTGCCTCATTCGAAGTTTGAGCATGAATGTCTTACACTGCACTTAACAATCTGAGCCTGAGTACGCATCAGTTTGTCTCAGCATCTCAACTCTTCTCATTCCCTTTCTCTTTCGCACACGTGCATGCCTTCCTGTAGAGGAAAAGCAGGACTTTTTTATGGCAGTGTTGGCACACTGTCCATGGACATATTTGTCATTTACTTGAATTGATAAATAATCAAACTGAACCAAGCATTTTTTTTTTTTTTATCCGAGACATCAGTCGCACTAGCCAAAAGAACTGGATTGAGCACCTCCTTTGAGTTTTATTATTATGCTTTTATACGTCTCTTTAATATAGTACAGTGTAAACATTGCTACTTACAATATTTTTCCTCAGCCATGGAACTCCAATTATTTTTATGATAGCTCCCAAACCTATAATTAAATATATAATACACATAATGCAGTTAAAAACTGTTTAAACTCCTGCTTAGACTACTTGTCCGCTAAGAAGCTTTGCTCCGAGGCAACCCCAATTTCTGCTTTTCCTAAACGAGATCAGTGTCATATGTTTCAACTGAAGTTGCTGTGGAAATGATGCCTTCAGGGGATGTTGTTTACACTGTAGGTTGTTGGTGTAGCTTAGATGTCCATTTCAGTGGGATGATTTGTTTGGATGTGCTCAGCCTTCCTGTCTTAGCAGGTTGAGTTCAGTGTTTGGTAAAACCACTGAATTTGGAAATAAAATCTTTATCTAGATTAACTCTGAAACATTTTTGTAGTGATTTGTGAAATGTGTTTACTGGACTGCTCTCAATTATTTCATTTGAAATAAAAAAAACTAAAAATTTCCAATTCTCCAATGGTGGTTGCAGTACCTTAAATTTCTCAATCATTCATTTTATGCTGATATTGCTGAACATAATATACACTAGTCACGAATTAAATTTATGTTGTTGTCATATGAATCTTGTCTCTTGAATCTCAGTTCATCTTAGCTGAAATTGTGTTTTTATCTTGTTAGACTTCTTCTTTTTTGTCTATCCCACTTCCCAGATTGTGACATTTCGTTATTTTTTTCCAGTTGAAAAGAGCATGAGGTAGAGATTTATTCATCATTTGTTTGTTTAGACTTTTTTTTTTTACTATGGGCACAAGTCTCTTCGAAAATGACCAGGAAATTATAGTGTTGACACAAGTTTATCAATAAAATGGTGCCATTCCAAGAAAAATTAGACAACCTAATGTAGACGCAGTTTTATTGCGAGAGCATTGTTTCAACATTGCACATTCATGCCACACATGAAGTCATTCTCTGCAGCAGATGCTTCAGCATCAAGAGTTTTTAAACCTCTCCTTTCTGTGTATGCAAGTGCACACCATGTTCAGGTTTTATCCTTCTTTCTCCTCTCAGCATGTATCTCTCTGCTTGGCTGCTAACTCTGACATTATCTTAGACTGTAAGCAACCTAATCATCTGTTCATTTCGCTGCCACCCCTGCAGCTCACCCATCAAAGGCTGTTTACTTCTGTTAATGTGCACAGCACATCTGAGAACATGATGAGCAGTTATTACCACAGCTATACTGAAGCCTCTGATAAAACCTCCCAGCCGATTAACACGGGTCTCATGACTCAAAACCTGTTTCTTCAGAAGAAGTCATATGGATATTTATTTCATATATTCTTTTGGTTTTTTTGGTTTTTTTTCTTGTCATTGGCAGTAAAAGACATAAAAAGTAGATTCAAAATTTGTTTTAAGAGCAACTTGACTGCTGTAAAACTAGAAGATCCTCACATGATACCTAAGGATTTACTATTTTTCCTACTTTTTTTTTTTTTTAAGCATGACTGTACTCTCACATCTGGCAGTGATTATTATGAAATCTCATCAACCTTTTGATGCTTCACATAATCGAGCCTTCAGTGTAACAACAGTGGAGCTTCTGTTTATTTGTATTGTTTTAAAAAATGCCATCGGTGACAGATTTTACTGGGATATTTCAGTTTGCTGTGTATGTATGACTTGTTTTTGGTGTGGATATTATGGGTGTTTTGTATTCTCTGTGATGTGATAATGTGCATGTGGGTGTTTGCGATGGACCGAGGGATCAGACAGAGAGTGATGCCCTTAGTTTTGTCTGGCAGTGACATTTTGTTGCCATTGTATGTTTTGTACTTAGTAGCTTTTATTTAAACATATTGTGTTTTCTTTTAGAAAAATTCCAAAGTGAAAACCAGTAGAAGTTACATAAATGTAACAAAATACATAAATGTAATTTAACATAACATTTATTTACATACATTTATATAAATATAATGTTGCATAAATTAAATAAATGTTCTATTTTTTCTTTCATGTGAAAGCCTCTTTTGACTTGTAATTTCACCTTCAGTCTAATCAACACCTTTGCGAATCAAGTTGAATGCAGTCAAATTGAAGTGCAAATTAATGAGTCGTTTCATTATTGAAGTGATTAGTCACACATTGTGTATACCACAATCTTGATTCCACATTAAGAACACCATAGACTTTGTATTGTTTATGCAACAATAACTTACTTGTATCCATGGTTTTGATTAAAAAAGAATGACAACCATTGACTATAGCCATTTTTTAAATTAAATCTGAGATATTTGCTTGTCTGAGTGTCAGAAAGAAATTATGTGTTATGTGTGTTTCCTTTGTACCAGTTGAATTTCTATTTTGTTACTCTGAATTTATTCAGTTTGTAACAATGACTTCAGAAGCACTCCCATTTTAGACCCCTGCCAAGAACAATTATACACACCTCAGTATTTTTCTCAAATAACTGATTTCCAATTAAATGTAAAAGTTTCTTCTTTTGCCTGTGTGCCACCTGTCCTCATCTCTTCTCTATAGAATTATAAAAATACTGGCTCGTCCGGTGTTTGGCTTCAAAAAGCCCATTTTTAAGGTTTCATCATGAAAACAGCCTGCAGCTCATCTTGGCTTCACCCTGGTTCTTATCTTTCTTATACAGGGAGTTAGCTCTTATCTTGAACTTGACACATGTCACACAATGTTTCTCCTTTTTTTTCTTCTTTTTTTAACGATCTGGCACTCCTTGGCAATGTTTCAGAATATAAGGGATCGTCTTCTGGAAAACATACTAAATATGGTCAGGCAATTCAGTGTACCCATTAGCTTTTGATTTTAGTTATGTGCAAATCTGGCAAATGACACAGAATCAGACCTCTGAAGGTGCATCATCATCAAGTTTATCCAAAAGTGCGACACACACTTTCACAAAACCCTCTTTTTCATCAGCATAAAATCATATTAAGGGCCTCAGACCCTTTAAGATAAATTAAAATAAGTAGGCCACAAAGATAAATCAAATTTACCTGGTACAGATTGCTATCTGAATGTAGACAATAAATAAATATATATTTTTAATTTAAGTAAAACAGTTCTGCTTTTTGTTATTTTCATGATAAAGGTTTTAGCCCAATAATCAAGCATTACCAGAGGCCAGTACTGTGAAATAGGAATTTATTTAACCCTTATTTAACCAGGAAGTCAACTCTTGACTTTAGTCTTAGATGGGTTTGAACCCTCTTAAGAGCGGTGATTTATTGGTTAGCAGGTAACTTCAGAGTTAACACTAAGTTTTCAGTGCTACATAGGTGGTTTTTGCTTGGGTACATGGTAAATTATGCTGAAGACCAAACCTTAATATATGGAGCAGGTTATGTTCAAGTGATCAACAGGTATGAAATCAGTCTGCTGAATAATTAGTTATCTGAAAATAACACAATATTCCTAGAAGATCCCTTCTGATTCCTTCGTGTTTCCTTGATGAATATCAGTAAGAAAAAAAGATGGTTTTGGAATCAATTTTATTCCTGCTATTTTTAGTTTTGGCTGAAAGCAATTTTTAGTTTTTACTTAACTTTAAAGCCGATTAGGTGTTGTCGTAACCACAACAGGTGGGTGGGTGTTCAGGTGGTGTGGACACCTACGTTTGTGAATGCAAGAATGAGGCAATTTAGGATTTTTGAAAATGAAACCATAGGCACAATTGCGAAAAATCTCAGACAAAATTGAATCTCAGTGATCTCAACCTCAAGGTTAAAGGTTAGAGGTCAAGTTTTATGAAAATCTTGTGAATGCAATAAATTAAGAAGTCACTTCAGATTTTCAAATCGATATCATATATGTAAATGTCTTAAAAATTTGAATCCCAGTTACCTCAAGGTCAAAGGCCAGGTTTTCTGAAAATGTTGTGATTATGATAAATTGAAAAAGGAGTTACCTAAAGTTTTCAATATGATAACTACAGTCGAATCTACTAAGACACAGGCACTGCATGCTACACGTTGCTTTGTTATTCATTTAAGTTGTGGTCCTGCAGAAGGATATTCATCTAGGTGCCAAAAAAGAAGCTGCTATACTAAGTCTGTGAAGAAGATAGTCCAGAGTGACAAGTTGCTACCATGTGAGCATGCAGTAACCTTCATTCCTTCAGTCAGATCAAGTCTCCACTTGCCACACCCAGTTTCAAGACTATGAAGTGATGATGGCTAAAATACTCATGTTCAGGCTTCAGGACAGAATGTGTGACTCCATGGTGCCAACAACCATTTTTATTTTATTTTGTTTTTTAATGTACTGTCTATCATCCGTCTTCTAGCTTTAGCTGTGTTGCTTTTAAGTTGGGCTGCTGCATAACTCAAATGGGTTCCCAGAAGAAGCTGGGAGGTGGTGCTGTGGTATTATCTGAACTGTGAACTTGGAGAATCTTTAACATGCCATACTCGCCATACTTGTGACTAAATATTGGAAATAAAAACAGGGTTAGAGACTCAAACACAAATGCATTAAGTGTTTTGTGATCATTTTTGTCATTAGAATATTGTCTAATAATCTGTTCTTCTATGTTGTACTGTTTTTTTTTTTAAGGTGGAGCAGATCGTGGATAAGAGGCGGAATAAAAAGGGTAAGTGGGAGTATCTAATTAGGTGGAAAGGCTATGGAAGTAAAGAGGACACCTGGGAGCCAGAACACCATCTACTACACTGTGAAGAATTTATTGATCAGTTCAATAGCTCAAGACTGCACTCACACAAACGGCCCAAAGTTTCCAAAAACCGTGGAGAGCCCTTCATTCCTAGCCACCTTTCTGCAACAGATGACTCAAGAGCTAGATCTGAAGCTCGAAAAAAGAAAAGGACTAGTGGCTCTACTGTGGGGGTGAGAGTAGGGACTGTTCTAGGGATTGGAAGTGGAGGATCACCAACCACTCAAAAGCAGAAGAAAGTGGGTGTAGGACCTGGAAAACATGCTTTAGGGGACAGAATGAGCAAAGCCATGACATTTAAAGCTCCTCCACCAGGCGGACCTCCCTTTGTCCCGTCATTGAGGGTTCCTCATAATGGACTACAGAATGGAGAGATGGACTCTCTCATGTACAGGACTGCAGCAAGGTCACAGCGACTGCCCTCAGACAGGGTGGATGGAGAACTAGGACATATGGAAGCCAGCGGACAGCAGTTTACTACTGAACTAGGTAAGTTGTTAAGAAAAAGCAGATAGTATGGTAAACTGAGATGAGGTGATGCTGGATTTTTGAGGCACATATTGTTATAGAAATGTGATTGTTGTTCTTATGCATGCCCATTCAAACCCGTGCTCCTGATTCTTGTTTTTAAAACATAATATTGGTACAGTAAGTATTTTTTATTTTTTTATAGAAAAAGGTTTTGCTCATAAATATAGATTTATTGCTGTGTGATTACATCTTTAAACAACTTAATGCATTCTCATGAACTTAGAATTAATCTATCAAAGATGCGTAGGCGTGGGTGCTGCTTCCTGTAAGCCACCATATTGCCCTGCCATCTGGAATACAGTGGCCAAGATGAACACTGCTGTTCTGCCTAATCACGTTTTATTTGTGTGTCTAAAGACTGGCTGCATGCCTCTATGTTACATTTAATGTAAAGATCATATTTAACTCTTTCAAACAATTTCTAAGTATTTAACATTTTCGCATCTTTCTCAGTATGTAATTTTCCTCCTCCTCTTCATCTGTATCCTCAACAACTGCTGGCTTCTCTCATTTCCACCCCATCCTATTCCTCCTCACATCAACTCTCATCTCCTGAACTGAAGTCAGGGTTGTAACACACAAAATATGTGCATAAACATTTTTTTTATTTATTCCCCAAATTGTTGCCATTAGTTTTTGTCAGCAGATTAGACTTGCTGCTGTCCTGTGCACAGCTGACAACAAGCCAACCAAACAGCAACAACAGCTTGTTAACCTTATGCTAGATACTATGAGGCTTGAGTGTCCTAAAAATCACACTTTCTCCCTGATAAACAGTTTGATTACATTCTCGCATCATATCACAATTAATTCACTTAGTTTCCCTGGCAAAAACAGCAGCCCTCACCAACAGAGGAGTTCAAGATATCCTCAACACCTCACCTCAGTATCACTGTCATTGGATAGAAGTGAGCATCACTGACTTGTTGACTCAGTTCACAAAGTTTTAAAACCTCCTCCAGAGTAAATAAACGTGGAGTTATTTGTCCTACAGTGTCCACTGTACATGGATTTATGCACTTGAATTGGAAGTGGTAAGAAAACAGAATTCAGTTGACTGCAGTCTCAAATTTGCTGACATCTGGTGGTGAGATTTTACTTACTACCTCTTTAAGGAAGTGTGGCGTACAATAATTCCACCAAAAGTAAATAAAGTTCAAATAAATAATTAAAAGCCCAGAATTACCAGGATAATCACACCCATGATAAGTGTACATAAATTTCTGACAACGACTGTAAATGTAAAATGAATCCAGATTTGAGCATAGCTTTTCTGTATTATCACAACACCATGTCCTGTAGTGGCTTGTATATAGATAAGGATGATTTATTATATTTTTCCACCTCACCCATAACACTTACTACACCATGACAATAACCAGTAACCTGTAGTAGAAGTAATAGTGGCAGTAGTAGAAGCTATTTATTTATATATTTTAATGTTACCACAGTACCACAGTTGCTCTTGTATCATACAAATGGCCTCACATACCTACTGTGGTTCTTTTGTGCTGATAACACCTTTGAATTTCACTCCTGGGTCACAGTCCAATGCCTCAACCACTATAGTTAATCATTAATTGTGTTTTTAAAAAGTCATCTTGATCTGTTTTAGCAGAAAATCAGAGAAAAAAGCTGAATAACTAAGCATACTAGTACATAGTTGTAGGTTGAGTGTTTCCGTTTTGCTTTTAGTTCAGAGGATGTTTTCTGATATAAAGATACTAGCTTTATGGCCACTTGCGTCATGTGCTTGTTTAACTTTGAGTATCTACTGGCTATACAGTCATGAAACATGCTATGTAAGGCTTTATATTGTCTTTTCATTCAGTGGCACTGTAGCAACATGAACAAGATGACTGTAAATAAATATGCCAAAAACATGTAAACCATATTTACCCCATATAGAACAGATCATCTGGTTTGATTTTGTTTAAATTACTTCATAAATAAAGACAATTACACAATTCTGAGGTAAAATGTAAACAATTTTCACTTTTCTTTTTAATCACCTTAAGTCAAACTAAGCCCTCTTCTTGCTTTTTGTGGATACAATTTTTCTGATAAGCCTAAATTTCCAGTTGCAAACTGAATTTCTATTGCTTTTGGATATAATGACATCACTGTCATGGCAACATATCAACATATCAATTCAATTTCTCAGTTGTTCATTAATTTCAAAGCATCCTAGTGATTGTGATACTTTATAAAAGTCTGTCGTTTATTTATGAGTATGGTAGGGCTGCAGCACTAACCCATCCTAATGGCCATCACCCTGGGAGCTATTATAGATACTAATCTCATAAGCCTCAAAAGACTGCCCTGCTCACCTCATCCAAAATCCTGTGCTCCACCCATTAACCCGTTGAAGTCAAACGGGTCCCTATAAAGATGTCACTGTTTTGCAGATCATTTCTGAAATTTTTAGTTCTAGACTGGATCAGTTCTTATGTGGGATCCAAACTATCCAAACAACTATTCACAGTCAAGTGTCCCTCCAGTTGCTTCACTCAAGCTGTATTATTTTATATTCATTGTTCACGTCTTATGATATCTGTTTAGGTTCTCAGCCATCCACGTCATGGTAGTCTTGAGACCTTGTAAACAAGACAGGTGGACTTCTTTGAGTGTTGGACCTCTTTTTACCGAAAGAAATCCGGTTGCCTTCTTTTCAAGTGCTCAACACTAGTGGATGATTGCAGAATTGGTTAGGAAAAAACTTTTTCAGTATCTAGCCAAGTCAAGAGCAGGTACATAGACCTGCTCGAGAACCAGAGGAATTGGAACCAGAGGAATGTACTATAATGCAAGATTAATAGGATAGAGTTATGCTCAGGTTAAAGTCAGTGTTCTGAAGTGTCTTTTTACCCGCCTAGATCACTGTAATATCTTACAGATTCTCTGCCAGGGAAATATAATTTTTGCAAGTGGTAAGGCTGTACCTTACTAAAACCACTGAATGAAGCGCAAACTGTCCATCATATTGTTACAGGAATACCTGTGTATTGATTTGCTGATGCATAAAATGTATAAATGTTACCAGTAGATTAAAGTATCGCTTGCACTGCTGGAATTGCAGCGATTAGAACACAGAACTCTCATGAATACCTATTCAATCAGTAAAATTAATTTCACTTTTTTATCTGCCAACAAATTAAAGTGATTCCCATTTTCCTTTATTAGATATTAGACAGGAGATGTGAATGTTTAAATGTTTCAGTTTAAAGTTTCGGAGCCCTAATGTGCAGCTGTCACCTTAGAACAGCGGCACTCTGCAATAAAAATTATTAACTTGAACTAAAATGTAGTGTTAATCTCTTTATTTGTGTAAGTGTTGCATTTCACTGTTCTGTTTTGGGGTTTGTTTGTTTTTTTTTATGTTCTTGTGAAGATATGACCTGAGTCACACCGTGCCACTTGGTGGAGAGTGCTGTAAAAATAAAATAGGGGAGACATGATGGAATTAATGAAGGCCAGCTGATATCCAGCCTCCCCTAGCACTGCCCTCTGAACCCACTGCTCCACCCCTCCCTTGCAGCTGAGCCCGCCACTGTTCTTTATAGAGTTTTAATTACCATTTTATCACCATCCTTATCATCTGTCTGTGACTGGAGTAGGTGGCACTCATAGGGATCACTTTTGTGGGAAAGAAGTCATATGACCTGTGAAATGCCCTTTTTTAAACTTTGAAGTGAACATGCATAAAGCATAAGGCAGGAAGCTGGCCTTAGTGGAGAAAGCTGACAACCACCAATGTAATAGCTGTTATTTTTGGCGTTTTAAGTCAGACCAGGTAATGCGAAGAAAGCCTGACTGTGTAAGTGTGCAGTAAACCCCTCAGGCCTCTAGTGTTTATTGATAATATTACCTCTGATGGAAGTAGTCACATCATGCATGGGGCTGTACTCTGCTTGAATTCAGCCATATGCTGCAAAACTCTTTGGCCCTTCACAGTGCAAATGGATAATTAAGCATACTACCAAAGCAACCCAGGAGTTTCTCAAGGTAAAGAAATTGGATAGTCTTCAGTGGCCAAGTTAGTCACCTGATCTCAGTGTAGTAGAGCAGCCTTTCTGTTACTGAAGGCAAAATTGAATACAGAAATACAAATAAACAAGCAGAAACTGAAGACAGCTGCAGTAGCCTGGAAGAGCATCTCAAGAGAGGAAACACAGCATTTCATGAACTACAGGCGTTCTAGCCTTACAGCAGTCATTGACTGCAAGATTTTACATACAAGTAAAAATATAAGTAAAATATTTAAAAAAAAGTCATAATATTTAAAATGATGTTAGCTTGTTGAATTACTTCCAAGTCTCTGAAAATGAAGACATAAGTATCAAAATGGTTGTAAGCACTTAACAATGTATGTAATAATTTAGTTTTGAATAATAGATGAAAGCCTGCGCTTCAATCACATCTTTTTTGTTCATTTAAGTTCTGCTGTGGTGGTGCACAAAGTCAAAATCACAAAAAAAGTCATTGTCCAAACATTAATGGACCCAGTTAAGGTGGTGACACCATTTCAAAATTGGCACCCAAAAAACCCCCATAGTACCTACAAATTATTTTTGTTTTCAAGCTTGCTGTAAAAATTAAATCAAATTAGCTTTTTAAATTAAGTCACTATTAGTCAAGTTTCAGATTGTGTTAATTAAAGAAACAAATCCCCAATGTATGATGATTATTTAAAAGTGCATTCTTATATTTTCAGGCAAGAAACACTTTACTTTTTTCTTCAGTCAACATGAACTTTATTGTTTAACCTCCTAGGACCTGGCGTCCACATATGTGGACATCACATTTTGGGTTATTTTGACAAAAATACTCAATTTTTCTCTACAAGGGCCTGATATCTATTTACGAGGACATTATACTGCTACTGTTCTATCAAAATTTTAAATGAATATCCTCATAAGGATATTCATTTAAAATTACCACAGCATCACTAGATGTTCTTAGATGAGGAACATGTGCTTTGTCTGACTCATTTTTCTTTCTGCCTTTAATCATTTATCTCGTAAAAGTCTACAGCTGAGAATGTGGTACTCGACCCTCTTGGACATTTCTTTTTCTTTCTCAGTGCAGATGAATCAGTGATTTCTGTGCACTAGATATTACACTGCTCCTGTACGTTAATGCTCCTTTGTGTGACAAGACCTGAAAATTACACTGATTGCTTTTCAAATGTGAACATGAGATTGCATGTAAATATAACTGTGGGCAATTTTCAAGGTTGAAATGTTAATGCAATCAAGTTGAAATTCATTGAATCACACCAAGAGAGTTGTGATATTGTGCAGCGAGAATACCCTTAGATGACACATGTGTATGTAAAAGTAGGTGTAATTGTCCACATCGCATAATAACACTGGGAATGACTAAGAAATTCAAAATTAATTAAAATCATTGCTAGTATAAAATTATTCGGGCTAAAAACCCCCAAAACAAAACGCATTACTGAAAAAAAAAATCTGTTTTTTTGAGTTCAGATAATGTAATATTTTCTAGACTTCTGTATATGGACTATGTATCTTTTTTCTTTTTTTCCTTCAGCTTTCAGCTCTAAGTATTAAGAAATAATATTATAGTATAAAGAAATGTATTAAAACTAAGAAGATGCATTTTTTTTATTAGGAACTTGTAGCCTTGATAGGCTAAACACAACATTTATTTGATAGTTGGAGTAACTTTGCAGGATTTGTTTAACACTGTGACATGAAAAAGACTCAGGCCACACTGTGACAGCAAAGATAATTTGCTGTAAGGAAGGGTTGGGTGTGCTCCAGATTTCAAATACACTGATCGGGCACAACATTGTGGCTGCTGACAGGTGAAGTGAATAACACTCATTATCTCTTCATCATGGTAGCTGTTAGTGGGTGAGATATATTAGGGAGCTAGTGAATATTTTCTCCTCAAAGTTGATGTGTTAGAAACAAGAAAAATGGGCAAGTGTAAGCATTTGTGCGAGCCTGAGAAGGGCCAAATTGTGATTGTTAGACTAACTGGGTCAGAGATTCTCTAAAACTGCAGCTCTTATGGGGTTTTTGCCAGTCTGCAGTGGTCAAAATGCAAGAAAAGTGATCCAAGAACGAAACTGTGGTGAACCAATGATAGGGTCATGGGTGGCCAAGGCTCACTCACACATGGGGAGCAAAGGCTGGCACATGTGATCTATTGTGCTACTGTGAACTACTGTATCTTAATGCTTGCTCAATCATCCAGGTAAGGAAATCCCAAAAAGTTGATTACGTTCATCTGAATGTAACGTTTTCAGTGGAAGAAACATTTCGTCACTCATCCAAGTCACTTCTTCAGTCTCAGCTGACGCTTTTAAAAGGTCCACAGTCTAACCAAACTAATATTTACCGAATCATTTCTCTGTGTGAAGTGCAAATCAAAGTCCCTTTTTTCTAATGCTCTTTCTTAAAAAATATATTTCACCCTTAAACTTGGATTTGGAAGCACTTTGTAATTGCAATAGCAATAATTGCAGTAGCCAACTGTAATAGATTTGTTCTTTTCTTTCAGTTGCTGTCAATTATTTTAAAATGTTCTAGAAGACAGACTGACCTGTTCTGTCACTTCTTGTATGAATCAGGCTCACCTTTAGCCAATGGGAAGATGCACCTACACAGCTCAGTGAAGCGGAAGCTGGCTGAGGAGAAAGGCTACGTTTTTGACAAGCGGCTCAGGTACAACGTGCGACAGAACGAGAGCAATTGTCGATTTCGAGACATTGTGGTCAGGAAGGAAGAGGGCTTCACGCATGTCCTGCTCTCCAGCCAAACAACAGATAACAATGGTCTGACGCCAGAGGTGAGAACAAAAAAACACACGAGTCCTCTGCCCATGTTACATTTTTCATTTTGATTAGTGCATGTCGGTTTATTTATATTTACATAATTTATATTTTGTGCTTCGCTGACACGTATTAATTGGTGTTGATTGTATCCTAGTTGCCATGGAGTTCTGTCTGGGGAAAAAAAGAAACCATGAAAGTTTGCCCAGTAACTGTTGTAGAGATGCCCTGGAGCTATGCAGTAGTTCCCCAACTGCTCAAGGGGAGTTTTTCAGGAGACGGTTTTAGAAAACTGTGGTTTTATTTGACAGCTGCCAGGTGTGAAAATGCTAGCTGCATAAATCTAACACAGGGCACTGCTGAAAAGGGGGCACAGTTTCCTCAAAGCTGCCTCCTAACAAACAAGGCTTCAACAAGTTTAGCAATTAGGGGTACATATAATGCAGTGTTTTGCCATCTGTTGTTGCTGCAGCAAAATGCCAGTTGAACTAGTGAGGAAATTATGCTGCAAGATCATTGAGGAAGTCTTTATGTAATTATTCTTAGAGAGGGAACTGGATACCCTAGAGATAATCGCCAATGATTTCTTCATAGCTGTTTGCTATTTAGGAATATCACTCCCATTGCTTCTACAGGCTATGATCTCCAGGAGGCATGGACATCATTAACATAAACATTATTCATTTAAAGAAATTTAAACCTAGTATGTAAATGGGACAACTGGAATATTGTTTTGAGAATATAGTTTGGCTGTCATTAATTTCCCGACTTCTAAAATAGGAGTACCCTCAAATAGTTAATGAGAAATATAAACCAATGTTTGTTCTTTTTTATTTGCAGTGCATTCTCAAAAAATATATTATTTAAAATGTAAATTTGTGAGTACAAAAAGAAACTTTTAAAATGAATTATGCCTTTTCAGTCTCTCCATTACTTGATAAGATTAAGGTATAAAATGACAAAAAGTTTTTGCTTGATTTATTAATAGATTATTCAGGGCCTTACTGTTTTGAGAAACACTTCTGATTATGTGTAATGATATACCAGCTGAGTCCTCTCTACAGGCGTTTAGGGGGCATAATCTGTACCAAGCTGTGTCCTCCCACTTTTGATGAGTTTTCTAACACTCTTGTCAGTAATTTGGTGATCACCTGCTAACTCCATGTCAGTCAAACTACCTTAAAAAAATCATAATCTAGCAGTGAAACAAACTGTAGATGTTGAACTTTATAGCCATAGTAACAGATGGTGTCTAAATCTGTCATTTAAATTACTGATCAGAACCTGTAACCTATATTTGTATATTCAGGGTTTTTTTTGTGCATAAAGGTTTTATTTATTGTTTTTCTTAATGACCCTATGAAGTGAGAACAGAAATATTTGAACTCAGTGTAGAATTTGCTTCAAGTTGCATCTCTTTGTGGTCATTCTTTTTGCTTAATCAGACATGGTTATTATCAGTATATCCAGGTGTAGTGCTTCAGTGGATTAAAGTGTTGGGTTATCCTAGTTGCACACTTTCCACAGCCCATGTGTATGTCCACATGGGTAGAAGTGACTTGAGGGTGAATCAAAGGATGATTAAGGGTAAATGCAAGGCTGTCCAATTTACTGAGAGAGCACAGATTTGTCAGCACATGCCACAATACTGGGGTAACAACTTTGCATTTGCCCTCCAAGTAGACTCTAAATAGACTGGAAGACGGTATTAGTCCAAACATAGCTGACTTTGTGTGCATCAACAAGGCAGATACAACATAGACTCATTCATCTAAAATATATCACTATAGTTTTACTCAGGCTTTGCTCAATGGAGGCATAAAACTCAAACTTAAAGAACTGGGTGAAGAGCTTGAGAAAGGCTGGAGCATGTGCATCTGCAGTACTTGATGTCATTTAATGGCTCTCTTCTATGCAGCTTTGTGAACTGTGATGATTCACTCGTTGATCTGGCTGCCTGCAGGAGTCTTCCAGCCCATGATTGGTTGCTCATTTCCACACTCCAATCAACAACAAGCTGGTCTATTTAAATTTCCTATGAGTGATTTTAGTAACTTGCTCTCCCCAGATGCATACCAGCAGCTGAATTTTGATTTCTGCTTCAGTTTTAATTTAAAGGATTTAATGGAGATACTATTTAAACTGTTTAGTAATTCAAGCAATTTCCATACCATTTTACTGTTTATAGAATAGGTGTATACTTTTGCTTTTGCTTGAAGCTGAAATATAATTATTATCCCAGATGA